CAGGAATGCAGGGGTAGAGGTGCCGGCTCTGCATGGCATGTCCTTGCTGCCTCCTAGTGGCTCATGGACCACACAGAGGTTCAGAGCCATCACAAAGGAGGGCCCTGGCTCCATCCTAAAGGGCTTATGCACTGGTTTCACTGTTCTTAAGGAAAGAAAGGTAAAAAGTTACTCCTGGTTCCACTTCTAGGAGGAACTTAGCAACAAGGGAAAACGCCATCACCCACAGGCCTTCAGTCAAATGGCAACACTGACTTAGTTTTACAGAAATCACTTTATATCCAGTGGCAGAGGAGACCTGCCAGGGGAAAGAGCGACATTAAGTCACTGGCACCCATACCCAATTATCACTAATGTCTCACATTTTCTGAGCCCTTTTCCATAAAAACTCAATCCTCAAAATAAGTCCATCAAGAAGGTACGAGAAAGACATTGTGTGATCTCCAGTTTACAAATGAATGAAAACTCAGTGGGCGTTATCCGCAGAGGATTACAGAAGTAGAACTGACTTTAGGATAATAATCACAAGCATTGATCAAGGATTTATTAATGATGACACTGGCTCAAGACTTTACATGGACTGTTGGATTTCTTACTTGCAACTAGCCTCTTCCACTGTGTTTGGTAGTTACCATTATTATTCTTCCTTTTTAGAGAAGAGAAAGGGTGAGGCTCAAAGAATAAATAACTATCCCCAAATTGAACAGCTTTAAGCAATGGACTGTTCTGAAAAGTCTTACTCCAGAGACCATGCACTTAACCAGTATTATTTTGTCCTGCCCATCTGGGTCTGACTCTCGCTTTTTGGGAGAGGCCTAATCAGTGCTTCCTCCAGCCTTGAAAGCAAGTACAACTGATGAATCTCCACAGGTCACTGTGTTTTCTAACCCTAAGTTGAACTAATGCTAACAAAATAAATCAGTACTCTTATTCCCTAAGCGTAAATGCAATAAGACACTATCACTTAGACTAAGAAGAGATTCCTAGATCCTTTACAATCCTATAGAAATTTACATACAAAAATATCCTAAGACCATCAGAATAAATAGTCGCATTGGGGTCATCCCATTTAATGTCTCTTTTCTGTAGGACTAAATCTGCCGATGGACAGGGTGCCGATTATTCCCTATACTTTTCTGAGAGCTCTTCAGAACTTTCCGAGGATGTCTGCTTTGTTCTCCAGAAATTGGAAAGAAGAGAAACGCTCTGTGGTTTGTCAATAGGGCACCCGGTCTGCAGGGCTGCCCCGTAGGATGCAAGGGCTTTGGGCCAGTTGAAACAAATATTAATTTGGAAGAGCATCAAACAAGGCTCCAACTGGGCAGCTCTAAGGGGCAGGCAAGGGGAGGAGGGGGCAGAGTCGTGCGTAGCAGGGCTGCAAGCCGATGGCTAGAGGTCCTCCCACTGCTTCTGGGAGACTTCCAGGTACTATCTCCTTCACAGCAACCTTAAAGTAGCTTCTTAAAAACCACCAAACATATATACTAATTCTTGCAGCAAAACTCATATATGATGGGCGTTTTCTTTACTTTAAAGGTTTAGAACCTAAACACCAGCTGCACCATTTATTTGTTTGTTTGTTTGTTTACTTTGGCCATGCTGCTCAGCTTGCGGGATCCTAGCTCCCCAACCCAGGATGGAACCTGAGCCCCCAGCAGTGGAAGCTCAGAGTTCTAACCACTGCACCGCCAGGGAATTCAACACCAGCTCTTCCTAACTCCACGTGTCACCTTCGCTGTGACGGTGTGATACCCTGAGCACAGACCTGCCACTCCACTAACCCTGGGGACGTGGTTTTTCCCTCTTCCATTCCGAACATCCCACTACGGGGCCACAGCGTGCATGTTCCTCTCACCTGAGAACGGGGGATGAAGGAGGGCCTTACCGAGTTCTCCTTGAGCTGCAGCCCCTCCCCGTTGGGAAGTGAGGACCGTCTCTTAGCTGAGTTCCTGTTTGGGGTTGAGGTAATGGCCCCTGCTTTCTTCTTCACGGTGAGCACCTCACAGCTGGCTTGGTCTTCATTGTGTGCGCTCTTCCCGGCATTGATAACCCTGGAGAAGCCAGAAAAGCCGGTCAGACAGAGTGACGTCTGGAGAGCTGAGAGCCCAGTCCCTCAGGTCAGCCCAGGCAGGCTTCACAACTGGCACAAAACGAATGCCCTACTTAATGCACAGGACCTTACAGGCTTGGTGGAGTAAATGGATTTTTTTTTAAAATGTAATTCTACTAGCATATGTTAAAACATTTGCTAAAGCAATGTGCTGAGGTCAGCTCACCTTCGCAGGTGTCTGATAGACGTGATCAACCCCACCAATCCACTTCTAGTCAAAACACTCGAGACAATCACTCTTTTTGCCAATTACATTGAAGACAGACGGCTGGCTCAGGGAATCCTGTTGCATTTCTCCAAGGGACAGAGCAAAACCACCATCAATCTTATCAAAGAACAAGGCAGTAATTTACAGCACACTGTAAAATCCAAGAGAACAGAGAACTGTATTTCATGACTGCCATGACCACTTTTACTTTACACATGGAGAAGTGAATGGATCAAAGGTTTATTCTTTTAAAATTATCTTCACTCCTTTATCTTTTCTCATGTAGAATAACACTCCTCACGTTGCATCATCACAACAGACTATGGGGCATGCTGATTTGTACGTCTGGCCCAATGATCTCATGGCATGTTGATATTCTTTGGCCTAATTACTAATGTTTTGAGCACAGGAATGCTTCAGAAAAATATGCTACATCATTCACAGACCTTTTTCTGTATCAGGTGACTGCAGAATGCACTCTTGGGTTTCGGCACCATTTTCTTATTAAGTAATTAAGCGGCAGCTAAGTTAGTTTTCCTGAAAGAGAGCTCTCCTTGATTTGCCATTGGCTGTGTTTTCTTGCCAAAATTTCAACAGTGTCACAGTAGGTGACAGAGTGAGTGTGGAGGATACAGACTCAGTGGCAAGGAAAGAAAGATGCTTTTTTTCAAAATAAGGTAAGATAGATGGAAAACCACTTTAAAAGTGTGGTATATACACCACTCAGTCTTCTTGTACTCCCTCCTAACAATTAATTAGAAGATGATCATTTTCAAATGACTTTTTATAAAGAATTTTAAATTCTGAAATAATTATAAACTCAGAGTAAACTGCAAAAATAGTATAGAGAGTCTCATACACCCTTCACCCAACTTCCCCCAAAAGCAACATTTTATATCACTCAAGTACAATATCAAAACAAGCAACTGACACTGATCCAGCACTGTCAACCAGACTGCAGACCTTATTCAAATGTCACCATTTTTTATATCAAATGTCTTTCAGTACTAAAAACTGTAATACACGCTACAATCAAACAGGAAACAGAGCAAATTGAGATCTGAGTGCTGTTAAGACTTCAGGGAGTGTGATTTGAACAGTCTTCTACCAAACCTTGGGATTCTATGGAGGTGTTTCAGATGTTTTAACATTTACTTTAAATTTATTTTTTAAATGTATAAGCATTTTGGAAAAAACTGCAATAATTTCAAAGTTGATTCCCATCTGTTACATGTGAACAAATACATGCTAGTCTATATATTTTGGGCAGCTTTGGCATAATAATCCTATCTTTTCTCTTTGACCAGTATCACTTGATTGGAAGAAGATCTGTTTAAAAAAATACCATTTGAGGGACTTCCCTGGTGGCGCAGTGGTTAAGAATCTGCCTGCCAATGCCGGGGACACGGGTTCAAGCCCTGGTCTGGGAGGATCCCACATGCCGCAGAGCAGATAGAGGCCCGTGCGCCACAACTACTGAGCCCATGTGCCACAACTACTTAAGTCCGCGTGCCTAGAGCCCGTGCTCCGCAACAAGAGAAGCCACCGCGACGAGAAGCCTGCGCACCGCATAGGAGAGTAGCCCTCGCTCGCCACAACTAGAGAAAGCCCGCGCACAGCAACGAGGACCCAACGCAGCCAAAAATAAATAAATAAATAAATTTTGCAATTACTTATCTATATGTAATAGGAAAAAAATCATAAAAGTCATCTGCTATCTCCGCTATTTCGAATTTCTGTTCACTGAAACTGCTTTATCATTCTTCCTGAGTTTATTATAAATTTCAACTTAACCATATTTTTATAAATGGAAGGCTTTAACTCATTTTACACACGACAGTTTTGTGTAAGATTGTTTTTTTTTTTTTTAAAGTAGATTGTTGCTTACAGAATGTGAAGACCATTGTCCTCGTGGTAGGGGTCCCTCGTAGGAGGCGGGGGTCCCTGCTGATCTCTGTGAGGTCAAATCTGCCTCCACACCCTCTCAGGGATGAAGGGAGGAAAAGGTCAAGGTCTAGTTTTTGGCCCCACCTTCACTCTCTCCTCTAAGGAGGAGGCATTTTCACAAGGTTTAAGAATACAGTGCTGAGAACCTACTGTATAGCACAGGGAACTCTACTCAGTGCTCTGTGGTGACCTAAATGGGAAGGAAATCCAAAAAAGAGGGGACAGATGTGTACGTATAGCTGATTCACTTTGCTATACAGCAGAAACTAACATCACTGTAAAGCAACTGTACTCCAATAAAAAAAAATTTTAAAAGAATACAGTGCAATTCTTGACGACACGATGAAGACACACACTACCTGCATAAGACCATTAATACCACTATGCTTGCTGCCCAAGCTAAGTAAGTTATCCCAAGTTCCACAGCCAGGAAGGAGCGCTGCTGGGATTCAGAGAGAGGCCTCCTTTGACCCCCAGCCCAACCTCTTCCTACTATACACGGGGATTTGCATCAGTCGGTGGGAGGACCAGCTGGACTGTGTGGGGAAGCACGGAATAAGCAGATTAGGCAAGCTCGGGTCCGTGCCTGAGAGAAAGGGGATTCTCTCCCTGCTTCTCTAGCTACTGGAGAAGGCACCCAGAGGACGGATGAAGGATGGATGGTTCAGATCTGCCTGTCTCTAGAGGAGCCCACGTTTAGTCCAGGTGTTTGCAGCTGGAGCTCCTAATACAGAACATGCATTTGTCTGGAGTTTCCCTTTCACATGATTTTTGGAGAATCAAACCAGGCAGAGGAAGGAGATTTAAAATACCACCTGCCTCGTCTCTGTCACTGATAGTGACTTCCAAGCAACATGTTTGGGGCAGATGGTTCGCTGGATGGTGATGTTACACCCCCGTGGTCACCCACTAACATCTTCCCTAGGGAAAGCCAAAGTGAAGGCTCGGCTAGGAAAACAAGTTCGTGACAACCATCCCCTCCATACTGTCCTCTGAACAAGATCTGGGCTCCTATTTCTGGAACTTGGCATCACCCTGACTATTGGGACCCAAAAAAAAAACCTAACTAAAGCATAACTTTAACAGAAAAAAGCATCACTGATCTCCGAAAGCTACATGCCAGGCTGACTCATCTGCCACTGCTATTTTCCAACAGTCAACAAAGCTACGATAATTACATAAATCACGAATCACTGTCCCTTGAATGTGCTGTATATCTCCTATCTCTCTTGGGGGATATTAAATTCCAAAGTTGACCTAACTTCAGCAAGAGACCCTAGAAACTTTATTGTATGCATGAGAAACCCAGGGCCCAGGAATACTGTGGCTTACACAAGGTCACACAGCTAAATACAGCAGAGTCCCAGCTCTTTCTGCTTCAGCTCTCAGTTGTTTAATTTTTCTCTTGTGTGTCTATTCTTATCGGCACTTGGTTGAGAAGGCTGTCCAGCAATGACTCATCAAAGCCAGGGAACCGTGAAGAACAATCAAGGGTACACTTCCTTTGCCATTTCAAGCAAATACAGCTTATGAATGACGCTGACGAAATATCACAAAGTCAGAAACGTCAACCTTGAGGGAAGACAGCAGCCCCAGCCCTGGAAGCCTGTTTGGTCAGATATCTGATTATTATCCAGATGATTGTCATTTTAACGAAAGCCACTGCCTTTTTAAAACACACAACTGCTATCCAATATTTCATATTATTTCAAATTCCTGACTCAGTACAATTTTAGTAGAAAGACCTGATTCTTCTCAATTTATTTTGGCTTTAAAAAGCTTGACCTGGGGCTTCCCTGGCGGCGCAGTGGTTGAGAGTCCACCTGCCGATGCAGGGGACGCGGGTTCGTGCCCCAGTCCGGGAAGGTCCCACATGCCGCGGAGCGGCTGGGCCCGTGAGCCATGGCCGCCGAGCCTGCGCGTCCGGAGCCTGTGCTCCGCAGCGGGAGAGGCCACAACAGTGAGAGGCCCGCGTACGGCAAATAAATAAATAAATAAATAAATAAAAAAGCTTGACCTGTATCAACTTAAATATTTCATTTTATTCTTCAAAGGCAAATGCTTTGTTTACTAAATATAAATAAAACCTCCAATTCCTCTAAAAGTAAACTGAGAAAAACTGTTTTCTGAGTTCAGAAGCATCATTCTGTCAATAGGTTCAATTTTTTTTTTTTTATGTGAGCACTATATCATTCCCTTCTTATCACAGGCTCCAGCAAAAAGTCAGCACTATCTTGAGATCAACAGGAATGACTTCAAGATGTCCTTTCTTTAAGCAATACCCACCCATGATGCTTATTTTGAAGACTTAAAGACAAAACGTTGGTGGACCACAGATCATCATCTCTTTGGTGTCATTATTTTTCAATTTTCCTACAAAAGAGAAGAACATCTTCCTCGAAATTAAACCGGAAGTAATAAAGCACAACGCTTAAGACGATGGGCTGTCTCCCCAGAACACAGCACACAGCAGGCGCTCAACAAAAGTCTGCTGAAAAGAATGAATGAAACCAGACAGAAATCAACTCTGCTACTTCCTAGATGTGTAGTAATAACGGTATCTTACACTTGTTGAGACCTAATTATGTGCCAGGGACTGCTGTTAGCATTTTACATGTAGTAATTAACTCATGTAATCCTCTGTGGACTCTACGAGTCGGCCACCACTGTTCTTCTCTTTCTAAAGTCACAACTACTGGACAGCAGAGTGTCTGGTCAAGTTGCTTAACTTCTGCAAACCTCAGTTTCTTAGTAGAACTTCTCAGATTAAATTCTGGGAGTTGCTA